AGCCATAAGCTCTTACGTTCTCCAAACACTTGATGAATAACAACTAATCAAAAAAGCTTACAACCAAATTTTTAAACCATAAATACAAGTAAGAAAGGGGAAGCAGCATCCATTATGCCCAAAAAAAAAAAAAACCCTTTACACATTCCAGGCTTTTATCCACCATATATTACTTAGGTTTGTGAAGGATCAATTTGATCCTGAAGAGAAATGCTAGGTGTCACATGTGACAAAATCTTGTTTTGATTTACATTTAATATGGAATTATTTATATTCATTTGATGTTTATATCATTGACTGCTGAAACCTCTTTGTAATTAAGAAAATCAAACAAACAAAACACAAGTTAAAACCAGAAACACTGAATGTGTGTGTATTAATTCCTCAACAATTAAAAACCTATTGAAAGATACTGGTTTGAAATGCTTTTTAAACAAAACAATGAAAAGGTTAGTCCTTCCATTCAATGGTGAGCACGTTATAGATTTGGAGTGGTGGACTTCCAGGGAAGAAATGGCAAACTGAAGGAAAGGACTTTGGATTGCCTACAAGCACTCCAGATAGTTACTGCTTCGAAGGAGACTGTGTGGCAGCAGACTCTGATGGGTTTAGAAGATATGGGAACAGCCATCTTGCTCAACTCAAGGTTAGTGCCTTTGAAAGGACACCAAGTTCGCATACTTTCTGTTGTTTTGAATATTTTAAAAATATGATAAGATACAATTTTGAAGGTTGGATACTAGAGGAAACACAAGAGAACTAAAAATTACAATTAAAGGAAAAGAACACTTACATTTGACTTGCTAATATGGAATGGAGCAAAATAAAGTAACACTGGATGTATTGGAAGATACTTTTATATATATATATATAAATTTATATTTATATTTATATTTATTTTTATATTTATATTATATTTATATATAAATTTTTTATATAAACAATCCATTTTCCATTAACCAGTGTGTCATCTAGGTACAAACAAATATAATGTTGTACCAACATTAAAATATACAATCTTATTCATTATTTAATCTCATTTTAGCTTAATTTGTATTGGAAGATACTTGTGATCCAGAAGTTAATTTTAAGAATGTCTGCCTCTATAGACAGATTTTGTTTAAAAGATGTTGTGGAAGAGAAACACGTTTTACTGGATAGGACTGAGACTAATTTGAAAGTAGATTTTAAAATGATGAGCTAAAGTAATAATATGGAAGGAAATGCTACACTGGATATACAAATGAAACTGTCTTAACTAACCAAAAAAGTAATCTGGATGAATTTTTTATGTTGAATTTACAAAAGAAAGTTTTGTTAAAGTTCTGAAAAATTTTGTGAGAAAGGACAAAGAAAAAATTAGAAGAAATCAATTTCTAGGACACTGTTTAAGGGAACTGAGGATTAAGATTGTTAACAGTAACAAGAAAGAATATAAAGCTGGTTATCTGATTAGGGTTAAAATAGGTATGGTTTTAAATATTTGCTTACAGATTAAAGATATGGAAGAGACCATTGTTATATTTTAAGAGAAGATGATAAGTTATCAAAATTGTTTATGCTTGTTGTCACAAAGGGGGTAGTCATTTCTTTATTCATATTTTTTCTATTTTTCTTTTTCTTTTTTGTCCCTCTATTTTCTATTTTTTCTTATTATTGTTTTATTTTTAGTTCATATTCGTTTTATCTTTTTAATTGTAATACAGAGTAAAATTTATTTTTGAAAAATAGTTGGAGAGCTACACCATTTGAGCTTAAACCCCAGGTCACCATGACAGAAAAGATGAATACTATGCAAATCTCTTCAGATAATTTCAGGGAGCGGGCAGATCGTACTAAACTATGGGACAAATTACATAAAATATATTTAGAATTATTATACCTTATATATTTAAAAACTATCCTGTTGCATTTAAAATCACCATTTGGGGGAACAAAAAAAGATTCCCGGAAGCCAGTTTCTAAAAATGAGGAGGGGGGTTATAATATGTGCTCCTGGGGGCCAGGGATTGCATACATGTGGCCTAATAATTAACGTTCTAGTAGGATGAAACTTCTTTAACATTTAAATGGTTCTATCCTAAAACTGAGAAAAAATAATGCTTTCCATTGAGTCAGAGCACAGGGTGTGTACAATTGCCCTCGGAATTATGAACTGGTCCAACCAAAAACAAAATTGTAATTAGGGTCGAAGGTGTGTGAGACACTCACCTCCTGCTGCAGTCGCTTGGCCCGCCGCCCATAGCTGTTGAACTTGGAAGGTTGCACGGATTGGCGCAATGGGATGCTATGAGGCTTATACTCTTTGTCTTTCTCTTCATTATCAAATGGGTGAGTATTGCACTGCTGGGAGAAAGGAATAGCATTAAGACTGAGTAAAGCTCCTGTTGCTCATCACTAGGGATCAAAAAGCAAGGGCCTAACCCAACTATCCCGTGGCAGAACAAAAGCATGACGAGTTTAGATATGATTTTCCTGGCTAGGCATGAGCCCCTGCCATCTTCCCTAGCCAGCTATTTTCTTCCCTGGGTAGGTTTTCTTCTTGTACTCATCTACTACACCTGTGGAAGAAATGTAATATGAAATTAAATTATTGGAGAACTTTATACTCTGGGACCCAATACTCACCACCAGGTTAGCACCAGACTGGTACATTTCATACGGGTAGATAATACGCTCATAGTGGGAACGAAGGAGGGAACCAATATTCTTTCCTGATGGATAAGAAAGTCGCTGGGCCACCCGTGCCCACCGGCGATCCTTGCAAATGGCTTCATATCCACCCTCCTCCATCACAATCTAAAAATACAGGAATATTGAAAAACTACAAACTATCAGCTTGCAATCACATGAACATATATCTATTTAAATCAGGTACTTTATTTTCCTTAACCCCAATTCCAAACAAAGACCAACAACTTATCAAGATCCATCAATGGCAGAGATGAATCTTCATTGAATCTGCCGGTGTCAGTAATTAACCCCATTAGCTTGAATACAAAAATGTAACTTTTTCTAAAATTCTTTTTGGGAAGAATGCAATTATTTACTTACTTTACTCAAGCTGTACAAATCAAGGATACGCCTCTCTACATTGGGAATTTTCAGTGCAGAACCTTGAATCTCCCAGAACTTTGCGATCTGGTCTAGATAGTTCAGTTTTACCCTGGTCTGTGCCTAGTAATTGAATAAATTGAAGTTAGCCTTTCTCAAGCCAATAACATACAACTGCTTTCCATTTAATCGTGCATCTTTCAAATATATCTTCATACCAGCAACACCAATTTTTTAATGACATTTTAAACAGCATATATTCACACACTGAACGGGTTTGAGACCTGGGAGATTTCCTGTAACAGGCACTTATACAGCTACATGTTATTTATCCCAGAGACCCAGTGGGGGTGGGAACAGGGGAACAAGGCCGTGCCAAGTCAGCACGCACATACACATGCAGCCAAGTCGAGCTGCACACTCACATGTGTACTAGCCTGCAGCCCAGCTGCGGCCACGGCCTGGAAGTGGGTCGCAGCCTGGGGGTTGTGACGCCTGATCTAACATACTTTAAAAGGATAATATTGTGAGGATAAAATTGGAGAAAAGGATTACAAGGTATACTGCATTGAGGAAGGTAGGAAATTAATCAAAAACATAGGAATACATTGATTCTAAAAAGATCCTGCCGAGCTTCCTCATTATCATTTTAACAGAAAATGGTTATTCATGGGGATGCAAATTTATTTAAGAGGACTAAGATACACACACTCATTTCATATAAATGCAAGCCAAAAGGTTCATTTTGCAAAAACTCAAGTCAAAAATATAAAAACCTGGATAATTAAACACATGAGGGGGTCCTTGGTGCTCTCTGAGCTTGGCTGTTTTCTTGCTGACATTTCATTACCCAAACTAGGTAACATCATCAGTATTAGATGAGTGTCTAGAACAGATGATATTACCTAGTTTACATAATGAAATGTCTGCAAGAAAACAACCAAGCTCAGAGAGCGCCAAGGACCCCTCATTTCAATCCTGAGAACTACTTTGAAATAAATCACAAAACCATTTATTTGTGCTTCCATAAACAGGCAACCTGACACCATTTTTGAAGTCAATTCTTTCCATGGCAGCCCAACACAACCGCTGGACAACAGTTGTTTAAAACAAATGCATTTTGTTTTTTTACTTATATACCACTATATTTTTACATTTATTATTTATTGGCAGCACCTAATATCTTCTCTTGTAAAACGGTTACTTTCGAATTATCCTGTTAAATGTAAAAAAATATGAATGGCACTACATTACAATTCTATCACATCTTCTGCAAAGGACTCACCTCTAATTCATTGAGCCTCTGTATCCGTGGAGTAAACCGGAAGTTGTCCACTTCCACAGCAAAAGGAGGTTGCCAGTCCTGAGGAAGAAACAGAATTTCAGAATTCAATTTCACAGCTAACAGAATATAAGGCACAAGAGTTGATTATACAAAGTACCACAGGGCAAACCTGACACAATGAAAGCTTTTAATTTTGCAATGAAGCAAACCTACTGTATGCGATATTCAGTACTGAAGAGAGACAGGGACTTAAGTGGGTAAAATCTACATTTGAAGGAAACATAGTGAACACCTAATAAAACATGAGCACACTAAGCACTGCAAAGCATTCATCTTTACTGTTTATATACAGGTTGCCTGAGAAAAAGGAAAGGATAACTCTGATGTTCCTTCAAACAATCTAAAGTACTATATCCCAAGGCATTAGACTTTCAAAATCTACTGCCCTGGTACAAAGAAGTCACTTCAGAGATGGAATAACTATCATAACTGTTGGAGACAGCAAGACAGAGAAAGGCCACTGAAGCCTTTCCATGTGTGAGAAAGACTACATAGTCTCAAAATAAATTTTACCAGAAAGGAGTCAAATTGACTATGCAAAATTTTGATTTCTAGAAGTTGGAATCACAGTTAGGCCTGGTGAACTTCATGAATGTATCTTCTTTCTTGTATTTTAGAGAAATATGTATTAGTTTGTACTAAAGTGGGTGATTAAGTTGGAAAAGCCTTGGCTTCCCAATTCAAGAGGATTTTCACATGGTGCTAAATTGTACATCAAAAGCGCAAATATGACAATTATATTTGCTTTTGTAAGACACACTGAAGTAAATTCACCGTGCAAATCAAAATAAATTAGGAAATGCTAAATAAGTCATTCTAGAACTTCCAAGAGAAGGGGGGGAAATGAAATATTGCTAACAGGGTAATACTTTAGCATTATAATGCTTAAAAGACTCACACCAGCAAGACAGGTTCTCCTCCAACTGAATTGTGACAGAAACTTTTGATTTGAAGGCTGCGGACTAACCTGAACTATAATTTACAGCCTACAGAAAAAAGCAAGATTCATTTAAACACTCCATATGCACTGGGTAAGCAGATGCTAATATTTTGCTGCTCTAATTAAAAATATCACAATACTTCTCAATGAGGATTAAAAAGATTGGCAGAAGTGTTTTTTTAATTGGGACCAGAGAGCAAGAGGTCTGCTTCAGCATCTTCGGCACTGTAGCTGTACAAAAGAAAACCAAGTCCCTCAAATATTTCCTAGTCTTTCTCTTGTTCCTTCTCAGACAAAGACTCTGCAACTGGCAGTCATACTAGATGACCTGTTATTATGAAATAATCAAAAATATTATTAAATGGACTTAAGAAATACAACAGGAAAAGACTTGGAAAACCTCTTTCTTGCTATAGTTAATTAGGGGGGGGGTGGGTCTTTTCTTCCTTTGCCTGCAGCTGAGGCCTAGCTGTAAGATGTAGGGGAAAATAACAGAAATAGGACACAACCCATACAAGTTTTCCAGCTTGGTGAAAGAGCAAGCTGTTCAAAATGGTAACAGCTACATGTCAACACAGGCACCACCATTATCACAAATACAGCAATTTACATGCACAAAACTACAGAACTTGACTGTTCAAAACACAAAGCTCTTATGTGCCAACTATTCCAAACAAACCCAGTCCCTGTAGAATACACTTTACCCTATTTCCCATAATGCGTTCTAATCTATATCTGAGTGTTGACTCTACCGCAAATTATACTTTTGCATCCCAACAACTTGCTTTCAATACCTACATTCAACTTCTGCTACATCATGGGAGGTACCTAAATGATTCAACCCTCATTCAATTGCATAAAACAGACTTTACCAACTTGGTGTCCTTCGGATGTACTGAACTATCACAATTTCGAGTCAGCAGGGCCTGTCATGTAACTTCTCTAACCACCCACTCTATTTTGTCGTTGAACCAGGCCTGTGTTCAGTTATTTCTTTTTAAGGCATCACAATAGTCTTATTCTTCCTCAGAAACACTGCATTTGTATCAGTCAACTCAACTCAATACCATGACTGTCTCCAGTAACAAATGCTCGCAAGAACTCTTCCCCATCTAAAGACACACTGGTTCAAGTCTGTAGCCCTCATCCTGGCGCACAAGCTCTCCAATACATTTCCTTCCATCCAATTCATTAGTCACCAGAAGAGACATCTCTTTTAAAAAATAAAGACAAACAAACATCACCAGCTCTGGTGTGAATCACTTAAGCTAACCCCCAGATCCTGCTTCTGCTCGCCCACTGACAGTTTCTCCCCAAACCCAACAGCCTCGGCTGGTACTTACGGCGGGAGGGCGGATTTTGCAGATGCCACTTTTTTCTGCGATGGGTCGGATCTTGGCAATGTAGCCCAGCGGATCGCTGAATTCGGCCCAGCTGGGCTCAAAGACAGGACACTCGGGGGGTGGCAAGAAATCCTCGGGAGGCAAGAGGGGGTCGGGGTCTCCAGCCCAGGACGGGCCACGCTCCATCCACTCGCCTGGCTCGGCGCTCCACAAGCCGCGCTCCGCCTGCTCTGACGCTCGAGGCGGCCGGAGGATCCGATCAGCCCGGGGAGCCCCATCGCCCTGTTCGGCCTTGTCACTCCGGGGAGCCCGCTCACCCTTCACAGTCCGTTCGCTCTTCTCCATCCTGGAGCCGCGCTCTGCCCAGTCCCCATGGTCTCTCCTCTCCCCTGAAAGGCCCCGTTCGCCCCTCAGGCCCCGGCTTCCCCTCTCCCCCTTCTCCCCACGGGACACCCAGTTGCCCTGATCCCCCAGGGGGCCCTTCTCCCTCCAGGCCCCTTGATCCGACCCTTCGGTCTGCTCCGCCGGCTCCTCTCTGGACTCCATACCCTCCACCGGCTCCTTTGCTCTCTGGGAGGCCCCTCAGGGGGCCATGCCCGGCCCCTCCTCCTCCTCCTCGCTCGAGCACAGGGCCTGGCGGGCGGGGGAAGTAGGCCGCTCAGCCGGAGCTTTTCTCCCCGGTGCTGGGTGGTTCGGCTCTGCCCCTCCTTCTCTCTGCGATCTCCCGGCACTTTTCCGGGCCCGGAGTCCCTCTCGTTCTCTCCCCTCCCTGAATTCAAGGCCTGCCGGGTCCTCTCGACCTGGCAGCCACCGCCATTTTGGACTTTCTCAATATCCTCCACAGCCGCTGCCCATCAACAACAAAACGTCTCCCTCCGCCAGCCTCCAAAGATTCAAAGGGATCTCTTGGAAACGTCACCACACCGGGATAGAGGAATCTTTCCCATACAAAGACTGCAACTTCTAAGCCTCATTAAAGGCCGCTGGTTTACACTGGAAGCTTTAAAAGCAAAATAAAGCCAAATAAAAAAGTCCCTCAGGGCCGATGCGGAAGGATACAACTAACAAGAGAATGTAATCGCTGGGACTTCTTGCGCACGTTTAAAGGGCCGCACCGCGCCTGCGCCAGACGACAGAAAACAGGAAGAGGAGTGAGGAGGGGAGAGGAGGAGGATAAGAAGAAGAATTGAATGGGCGGAGCTAATCGTAACACCGCCTATTCGGTTGTCAGAACTACAGCGGGAGCCTCGTAGCTGTCAATTGGTTTGGCTCAATTCAGACTTTTCGCCGGTTTATATACTGCATCGTGGTGCTGATAAAAAAATCTATATGTAGTTTGTGATCTATCAGTGGCAAGGCTAACTTTTGAAGCCTGGCTCCTTTAACTCTATTGTTAAATTCATTTTGATCTAGAAGCGGGTTTATTTAATTTAGTTTTGGATTCCAGCTTTTGAAACACTGATGGATTATGGGAAATAAAGTCTAACATCAAGATCTATATTAAATATACTATTGCTCGCAGGTGATTATCCAAAATATGCAACAATGTTTTTATTACTATCAATTTAATATTAATAAAATTATAATAGGGAGGGTAGAATGAAAAACATTGCTGAGATTTTGATAAATGTCTATATAGCAGGTTGCACTCAGATTGTGTTTTGAAGAGCCTTTGGATATGTAAAATGAGATATCGGTTACAGAGGCAGTATTAAACTACAAAAAAACTCCACAAAGTTTTGTGGAAGCAAGAAACAATCTGAACTGAATACCTTCCTCAAATGAAAATCAGTTATACATGTTACATTACATATGCATAATTTAGTTTACCAGGGTAAAAGTGAACAGCAGCTATATATTCTATCATAGTTCACAACTTAAAGCCTTTTGTTCAGCAACTGTTCAAAGTTACAACAGCACTGAAAAAAGTGTGTTACAAACAATCCTCCCACTATTGTTGCAGCATCACCGATTCCCCATTGTCATATGATCAAAATTTGAGTATTTGGTAACTGGCATATAGGTAAGAGCATCCCTGAGTGATGTGATCACCATTTATTTATTTATTTATTTATTNCGCGCTTTAGTCTACCGCGGTTTTGTGGTGGAACCCAGAATTTCAGGGTTGTAGGAGATGAAAAAAGGAAGGAAGAGGCAAGGGACGTTATCAAGTTAAGATGCTTCTTTCTTCTGCATAACAAAAGGAAGTTTCAGAAGTAGATAGAAGAAGAAAAAGAAATTGATGGATTTTGCATTTTCTCCTTGTACCTTTTGGGTGGGAACCAAAATTTTGGATGGGTGTCATATACCCTGCAGAGGTTTACAGCATGCATTTATTCCTTAAAATTTACAGGCCCTCCAAAAATGGGCTTTGGATGTAATTCGGTTGTAGAACCCTGAATGTGCCAATCATAGTACATAACTGATGGCATTAAACATTGGGCATTTCTGCTATATAATAGCTGTTCTGCAGTTGCTTCTTGTTCAGTGTGGCTTCTAGTGTTTGTAACAGAAACTGGGTAAACCTATTTTTGATCCTATTGTAAATGAAAGGCTAAGAATGAAATCTTGGAGTTTTCCTAATTTGATTTTCTATGGCTGTGCTCGACTACAACTTCTATAATTCTCAATCAGTACACTATATCTAGCGGTGCATGACATACGTACTACTAGGTTGAGGAAAGTTGCATTGTGTGAGAGGATTAACAGTACATGGGAATTCAACACTGAGCTACAGATACTCTCTTTTATTGGTACATGGGAGTTTAATGTATTAAAGTACTGAAACCCTGGAAATTGGAATGAACAGTTTCTAACACTACATGCTGTATAAAATAACCTGTGACTTGTTTACTGCTAACATTTTATTACGCCAATAATAATTCTGAAGTTTTAGAACTGTTGGAAGTCATGTCCATCTGGGTTCAGTTCCAAGTGGGGGGAAAAGACACTGGATTCATGGAAGTTGCATGGAAAGAAGGTTTATTGATGAAGTGGATCACATGCCTTGAAGATCTTGGGCGAAGAAAAAGGGAGGAGATGCTAAGAGTGCCTAGGTTTTATGCCCTCTCTGGACTTTTGAATTTGAGCTTGTATTCCGATTGGTTGCCAGACTCCCATGGGGCCATGCAGGGGTAACTTTGTAGGTTGTGTTTTGAGTCTCAAGCTTGGTTGAGCCTTGCTGGGTGATGTAATCTTCCCAGGTGCCATGTGGTGAGTTGTTGCTAGATGGATAGAGGGCTAATCCTACCTTTGTTGGATCTTGGGTAAGGACATAATGCTTATGAATAGACCTAGCTATCTCTTTATCTTTTAAGTGTGTAACATCTGCTGTGAGCAGAGGTGGGTTGCTAATTTTTTTACTATCAGTTTGGGTGTGCACATGTGCAGAAGCGTCCGGGCGGGTGGGCGGAGCCTCTTGCCACTACTATTACTATTACTANGTCATAAGTCATGAGGGTTCTAAAACGGGTCATCATGTGAATGGCCCCAAATTAAAAACTTTTTTTGCAGCAGTCCTTGAGTGAACCCTGCGGTCATTAAATTAACTCATTGTTCATTATGGAACCTCCCCCCCCCCCCAACCTGGAACTAATGTCCTTTTCCAGTAAAAATATAAATAGCAGTCACAGGGGGTTACTGCAAGCAGCCATAAATGCAGGTTGGTAGCCAAGTATCCAGACTGTGGTTTCATTACTTGGGGGGGGGGGAGAGATAACCTCAGAATCTGGTCATAAGTAGGTTTTTTTTGGGGGGGGGGATCATGTAACTTAGAATGATCAATAAATGGTCGCTAAGACTAGCTATATGGACATGTGAGAAAAGGAAAGCTAGCAAAATTTCGTTTACGCCAGCACATTTCACTAATTCTTCCAATATATCTATCTATACCAGTTCGTATTTTGCCTGCATATAGCTTCTCATCTCCTTTGGGGTATCTCATACAGGGGTGGGTTGCTCCCAGTTCAGCCCGGTTCAAACTGGTAGTGGAATTCAGCCCTGGGTCGCAGAACTGGCAGTCACCTAGGCCTGCCACGCCCCTGAACCGGTTCCCTCGCTGCCGCTGAGCTGTCACCATTTAGTGACTGCGTATGTGCAATTCATTGTAAATTGTTCTGCGCATCCGCGAAGAACAATTTAAATTGAACAGTGTTCGCAGGCGCAGCGCGAACCAGTAGTAAAACCAGCAGCAACCCACCCCTGATCTCAAGATACTTAAAGAGTAAATATGATTAACTGTGTAATTTGGGCCACAACTATTTATTGCCACAGTCCCTCTCTTTTCTGTTGGTGTCCCTGCAATTTTTCTGCAGACTAGCAAATTAGTCTAGATCTGCACTGGAAATCTCCAGACAGCAGAAGAGCAATACAAAAAAACATCATTTTTATAGTCATGCAGATTAATACAAGCCAGGCCTGGCATCCTTGACTAGTAGTTGCCTACCAAAAGAAGAAAAACCTTGAATCTTCCAGCCATGCCTAAAATTCCCACCTCTTTGTGTCCCTCTTAATGCAGGAGAAGCTCTGCTACGAGGCCACTCCTGAATGTAGCCTCGTTTTCCTGGAGGACTAATGGCGGCTTAACCAAAAGAGTCACTTTTCAGAGTGAGATGGGCAGTGCATAAATACAATAAATAATAATAATAATAATTTGCCCTATTACACCGGATTGAGATGGCACGCTGGATTATGCTTAAGGTAAACTAGTCTAAATCAAGATAAGAAAGATTCTTAGGGGCTTAGATGTCACTCTAAATGTGCCCCCAAAAGGTTTAGGTGAATCCTATCACTGATAACATCTGTATGTTATGCTAAGTTATAGCTTATTTTAACCATGTTGTATTGAATAAGCCACAGTAGTTAAAGTGACACATAATTAAATTAAACTGTTTAAACTATGTTTTAGGTGGATTTAAAGATATGGGGTGGTAGCATTGATGTCCTGGGAATAAAGGATAACCCTCCACAGTATACAAACAATATTTGCCTGTTTAAAATAGGGTAGATTTCTCCAACCCATATTTAGTGTGTTATTTGTATCTTCCCCAGGCAAACACGCATCTCTCAACCAAGATGAGACCCATCAGAAAGAGAAGGAACCATATGGATGCTGTCATAAGTAAGTCAACTTAGGAAGAAGACATTCTTAGTGTGAAGGCAGAAATCTACATACAAATGTGTGGAAGAAGCTGAACTATGAGGGAGGGAAACGATGCTGATGAGATGGAGGCCTGTTGGACAAAATATTAGGGTTAGGGGAGAAGGATTTTTCATGCAGGAAATCAGAATGATGATACGCATGAGACATTAACTGTTGCTTCATGCAGACCTCCTGATTTCCTTGGCCCCACACTTTTTCCAGGATGTTTGAGGGTTATACCTGCATATTTGAACCTGGGACTGCTTATATATATATCATCTGAGTTCATTTTTGGACTCATGTGGCCCTGTGGTTTAGAGCTGCTTTTTTGTTTCATCTGAGTTCACATCTCTGTGAAACTGATTGTGGTAGAATTCACTCCCTGATAAGAAAAGAAACTTAACTAGATTGAATTACTTGACAGGTAGAATCATATTCAAACCCACTCCAACTTTGGAAATTCAGTAGATGATTTTAGTCTAAGCATTCTTCTATTCTAAACTATCTCATAAGACTTCTGTGGGGATAATATTGAGATCTCCATATAAGATGCCTTGAGCCCTTAGCTCACGGGTGTCAAACTCTTCACGTCACGTCATGTTACCGTCATGTGACGTTTAACAATGTTTTTCCCATCAGAAGAACTGGGGTGAGTGTAGCCTGCACATGACACATCCAGCCATGGGCCGCCTGTTTGACAACCCTGCCTTAAAATAAGGATAAGATGCAGATTTAATAATAATGTCCTAGTGTTTCTGCATCATCTTGAAAAACTGTCATTTGGCTCAAAAGATAATTCCTATCACTAATTTGCTAGTAGGAATACAACTTAGTTGGTAATCAAAGGAGATCTCTACAGTGTACAATTATTTTTTGCTCCTGGATAAAAGGAGGGATATATTAATCAAGCACACAGATTAAGTTGTAATAAATGTACATGACATCTTCCATGAGTGGCTTCAAAGGTCAGGAAATTTCTGCAGGAAGCACAAAGTAGATGAATTAATGCTGAGGGTTTCACTTTTGTTTAAGTGAAACAGTAAATGTATACACAGGCAGTACCATTAAATGTAGGAAGGATAAAAGCACAGTTGTATGTTCTAGATAGGGTAGATTATTTTCACGTGAGAATATATTATTAGAAAAAGATAATGGCAATGAAAAAGGAATACTGGAATCCATCTTTTTAGCATTTAATTTTATTTATTGTGAAATCTTTTGTGAATTAGTTTTAATGTGATAAATGAATGGTTCTGAGTACTCCCCACTTTTATATTTTTGGGGGGGGAATAGCACAAGTTGTATATACCAAGACAATTAGAAAATTTCACATCTGTTTATTTAAATACATTATCTATCCATCCATCCATCCATCCATCTATCTGTGTTTATCCTTGGAAAGCAGTATAAACACCAGCATTATCAGTGAAAACAAACTACTACTTGTTTGTAAAAACTGGAACTAGTGAAAAGATTACAAGCAGTGGAAGCACATCTTGAATCAGCAGCAAGAGGATAAATTAGCAATTAGAAGTGAGGGAGCAGAAGCAGCAATCAAGATATATTCCAAATGTTGCCACAACCAGTTATTTGTGCTGACTTTACATTATCCTCAAATGGTTCCTGACTGTTTTGACAATCATTGAAGAGTGTTTTGTGATGGATAACTTTGTGAGCAGCAGATCAAAATAATGCTTTGTTTTGGCTGGTGAATAAATGTGGCAGTTCTTATTTGATTTACAGAAGATTTATTGTGCAGTTGTGTGTTGGATGCTGTGTAACCAGGTTTGAGGACAGTGCAGTAGATCTGCTCCAATCTCTCAATAGGCAGGAGCAAAGGCTGATTCAATAATAACTGAATATTAAAAAGTAAATCTGCTAATGCTAATCCCATAGCAAATGCTGTTTATTTTCTCCATACAGAAGGTTGAAAGAGGCTGCATTGGGATACAATAGAATCTTGTCTAGCCCTTTACTGTGGCTTTAGATGAAGTTGAAACAGGTTGTAGCAAATTCTAATATTGATTTTGTATATTGGTTCCAATTCTTAGCTAAAAACATTCCTATTTCTTTAATCATTGCAAAAGTTAATTAGCTTATTCCATGTCAAATCAGATGTCAAATCTGATTTACACACACATTGCTACTGTCTTAAATGTACAGGGTTTTTTAAATTGCATATGAAGAAAAAGCTATTATAGTAGGGACTCCTATTTGTCATGCTAATACATATTTCAGCTAACCAAAGATTTGTTGGTTAATATTTGCATGTCAGAAACATAGAGTTGTTTCTTTTTTCCTTCTAATAGCAAACTGAGGAGGAAATTTCAAGAGCTTGAAAAGGTGATGCAGATAAAATGGCTGTCATGGCAGCTATGTCAGTTCACATGCTCTGATAGGCATCCCTTGTTGTATCCTTTTACAAAGAGGACACTACCTACCAAGGATGCTATATGATATTTCAATTAAATTATCATGGGACCCAAAAATATTGCTACAAAATAATTATGCTCGTATATGCTGGTGCAGCTTTCTTTTTAATATTATTAAGCTAATTATTTAAAAAATAGATGAGGCAAGTCCGGATAGAATATATAAAGGCCCACTGCCTGGCCCAGTGTAATGCACTGCTTTCCAACTGATGAAAGAAATGTTCTTCTGGGTTCAGCTCCAAGTGGGGAAAAAGACACTGTAGACATGGAGGCTGCTTGGAAAGATGGTTTATTGGTGGACAGGACCACATGGCTTGAGCCCTGAACAGAAAAGGTGATCACANCTGAAAGCCCTAGGAAGCGGTATATAAGTCTAACTACTATTGCTATTGCTAACTTTAAAATACGTAAAGCCACACTGAAAGGAGTCTTGCTATCTCAGCGTAGCTTTATTCGGTCGCCTTTCCCCTCCCCTTTCCAGGACGTAATTTGGCTTCCAAGAGATTCCAAAGGATGCGCGGGAGTGCCGGGATGCCCAACCTAACCTTCTTCCAAGAGGGCCGCGGCTATTCCAGGGTTTCCTCCCAAACGCTGGGGGTTTGGTTTGGTTTGGTTTAGATGAAACCCCAGCGCTGCTCTTTACCCCAGTTAACCTGTGCAGAGGGCCAAAAGGTGATGTAGCGCAATCAAGGAACGAGGCCGGTTGACCGTGGGAAAGTTCCAGTTCCCAAGCGGCGTCCGATCGGAATAAGCCATAGCGGATGGGGACAGTGGCGGAGCGGGTGGCAGAGCTCCGTACCCAGCCTGAAGGGGGCGAAGGGCTGGGACGCCCAAAGGGGAAGGGCGATCGGAGCGGAGGCAAGCGAGCGAGCGACGCCTCCGCTAAGCTGTTCTGCCCAGGAGGCTGGGCGGAGCCGCCGACAGAAGAGGAGGAGGAGCTGCTGCTGCTGCTATTACTTCGCGCAAGCCGGAAAATCTCGTTCTTGCCTGCAAGAGGCCGAAGATCCACGCGGATTGCATCGGCAACCAGACGCTGGAGGGAATCATGAGGCGACGGGGGTGTTTGGGAGATGAGTACGTGGGCAGCGGGGAGGGTTCAGCCAGCAACCAGGGAGGAATGGGTGGGAGGGTGCGGGGTAAAGGAGGAGGCCTTGCGCGAGGGCCCGGAGGGGCTGGGCTGCCGGCGAGATCCGCGGGCCGGTTGCAGGGTCTCGGGGCTTCTGTGCCACGGCTGAGAGAAGCGGCCAGGAGCCAGCCTCCCTCTCTCTCTCTCTCTCTTTCTCTCGGGGGCTCAACTATGACGACGCGTTCGTGCCGTTCGCTTGGCAACAATATGGAAGTGGTTTGCCATTCGCGATGTTTGTCCGATCTGTTCCAGTCCGGAGCTGGTCTCTGCTGGTTTTCCCGGTGGTATCCAACCCGAGGAGAAACCTCCGGGACGATGCCGCTTAAGTTGTTCGTTTATTGATGTGGTTTGTTGGGGAGGGGGATGAGGGGGATTAAGAAGCACGAGGCCAATTTGCTCCGGCTAGTTGAGCAGAACTCAGTTCGGGGATTGTTGCCCTTCTGGACACGTCCGGATGTTAACGAGAGAGAAAAGAGGCAAGGTTCAACCTCCATAGGTGATGTGAGAAGCTGCTTCCCTGTTTGTGCTGGCTGGGGAGAGCCTGGGAGTTGAAGGCCACAAGACTTAAAAGTCGCTAAGATTGAGAAAGAAACAATGCCTTAAGGCAGTGTTTTTCAACCACTGTGCCGCGGCACACTAGTGTGCCGTGACATAGTGTAAGGTGTGCC